GTAAATGGGATTGCTGAACAGAAAATAAAACTCTTTTGGAGACTTGTTTTAGAGTCTTCATGATAATCAATCAGTAGGTCACTGGTTTATAGGATTAGAATTTGCTTTACCCAACAAATGGCTTCCCCATCTGCATGTGGGCCTTAGTTTCTTTATGATAAAGTGGAATACAGAATATAAAGCTTTAGGATCTAATTCTAGGAAGTATAGTAAATTTCCTTAAAGATTATTTTATTAAAGGTTGAGCAAACTTCTAATAACTGGTACTCTTCAACAAAATTACTCTTTGTTCTTTTTATCTCTGAACTTTGAAAATAGACATTAAAATTTAAAAAATGTTTTAATACATTATTAAAGATACATTAGGGTTATTTTGTTTCTCTTTTTCTTTTTTTCTTTTTTTCTTTTGCTATAACAGAAACTCTAGAACTCAGTAGCTTAAAAAATAAATTTATTTCTCTCTCATGTAAAAATACAGAGCAGGTATAGTGGATAGTGCCAGGGAACCAGGCTCCCTCTGCCCTCAACCTCTGACATCCTCCACACTCAACTCCCAAGTGTGGCTCAGGAGGGAAAGAATGGTCACTCTCCTTTCCTTTAATTGAGAGGTTCAAACATCACTTGCTACTGGCCAGAATCAGTTAGATGGCTTTAGCTACAAGGGAGGCTATGAAATAATGGACCAGCCAGGGAACCAGATCTGGGAGGACATTCTGGGGAATCACTAGCAATCTCTCTCTCAGTGGTCTCTCTGATGTTTAATGATTACCAACCACTTCTCCCCTCCATTTGGCTCCTCTGAAGAAACAATCCATCCAAATAGGCTATTAAATTTAGCATTTCAAAGTGTGTACTTTTATTCTGTAAATGGTCTCTTTAAGTCATAAAGTGTCAGATTTGGAGGAGACAAAAAGAAAAACTAGAGCCCAGTCCCTTTATTTAATACATGAGGAGGAAGAACTCTGAAAAGGTAAAGCTGGAGGTAGAGTTAGGACTAAAAACCAGGTCAGCTGAGTGCACTGCATTCTTTCCAGTTGACAAAAGTGTCTTTGGTAAATCCAGAAATCATCTTACTCTTTCCTATTCCCTAGAGTTGTTGGGGTTGAAGTTAAGTGATTTGGCAAGGCTAAGAAGTGTTTAATGAGAGAAGATTTAATTTCATTTCTATAAATATTTGTAGCAGATCTGGCCCTCTGTGAGTCTGGGACTACAGAGATAAAGGAGCAGTCTGTATACACAGTCGTAATGAGTAACATGGGCAAGTAAACAAACAATTCCAACTCTGGGATCATTGTGGCCACAGAGAAAACCTTTTCTGCTGGGTGAGTGCAAGATAGGGTCACTTAATCCAGTTGGAAGGGTGGAGGGAAGGTCAAAGAAAGCTTTTTGGGTGTGAGATGAGTCCTAAAAGACAAACAGGAATTTGAGAATATTCTTACATAGCCAAAGTATTTTACATTTTTCTTTTAAGTAATTCATACTCAAAAGACATAGCCCTGATCTCTGTCATTTAAAAAAAAAAAGTAGAATTTAGATTAAGTCTTTCCACACACAGGCAATATATTGCATGTACAAAGAACTATGGATGAGAGAGCTTGGTGAAGTCTAGAAAACAGGAGCAATTAAATATGGCTAAAATAGGGGGTATTTCTCTTGACGGCCATAAGGAAAAGTGAGGTAAGTCTTCTTGCCTATGTCCTATGGAGTTCGGGCTTCTCCCAAAGGCGACAGAGTGCTAATGATGAATTTTAAAAAGGGAATTTAGATAATTAGTTTTTATTTTAAAGAATGTTCCATTTGCCATTATTGAAAAGGAAAGATTTGAGGACTGAAGATTTGACACAAGAAGACCGGCATATTTTGGTGACTATGGTAATCTGCATTAGAGCCTGGCTTATTGCAGTGACAATTGAAGGGAAAGGAGGGAGCCATAAAGAACTATTTAGCTAATTATAATATTTACCTAATTGTAGATTTTTACAATTAGGTAATCAAAGGGGAAAGAGGACATTGTGTGACGTGATTCTTAGAACTGAGTAACTAGCCTGAGCTCTTCACAGAGAAGTTAAGTACTTTTTTGAATATCTATAGTTTCAGGTGCCTACAAATTGGATAGATGGGTCGGAGCTTCAAGAGAGAGAGAGATCTTGACTGTGAAATAGGTTCCAGTAACTGATGTGTAAACAAAACTTCTTGAAACCTTGAGTGTAAGATGGAGCACCCAGGAAGCACTCACTATATGAAAAGAAGAGGGAGCCCCAAACTAAATACAGCAGAGAGGAAAAGCCAGAGATGAAACTAGTATAAAGGCCTAGAAAAAAATAAGACACCAAGGAATTGTCAGAAACCCTGGAAAATAAGATATCCAATAAGGAAGGCGCTAGTCACATCAAGTACTGCAAAGAAGTATCCTTGGTTTGGCCATTAAGAAATCCTTTGCATTATTGTCAAAGGTGCTTTTGTTGGTGTGGTGAATAAAAACCTGAACTAAGTTGAGGAATGACTGAGCTGTAAGGAAATTAGCAGGGAGTTTAGATAGTAAATTCAATTCAAGAAACTTTTTCAGGGAGGGAGGGCAGTCATGTCAGTGGAGAGTCAATAATGAATTGATGAAGGGTTTTGTTATTTAGCTTTCACTTCTTAAAATCTGACGATGTCTTTCCTATATTTGGGAAGTGGTAAGGCTAAGAAGAGAGGGAGAGACTGTACTTAAAGAGAAAAGAGGGGTGAAGTGAGGAAGCTAGGTCTCTGGAGAGACAGAGAGCTAGCTGGCCTCTCTTTTCTCTGTTAGGTAGGACCAGAGGTCCTGGTCCCATGAGGAGACAGTGAATAGGGGACCTGATAAAAGGAGAAATGATTTAGTTTTAAAACATTCCTGAAGGAAATGGCTTGGACCTTCAGAGAGATCACCGAACATTTCTGAAGGTCCAGCTGATGGTAGAAATGAGTCTATAATGGAACCATGAACACAGCTCCATGATTTTTTAGAGGATCATTCCGTGTTTCCTCATGTTATGTGTTACCTGGAACATGCTGCTGTGGACTCTCATCATTCAATCTAGTACAGTTCCACAGAAGGAGGAGGATATCTCTTTAAATAAGCCCTTAGGAAGCCAAAAAGCAAGTCAAGAAAGGTTGATGTTAGGAATCCCCCATCCATTCTCTGTTTTCCCCTGTGGCTGTGAGAGGTGCCTCTGTGGCCTATGTCTGGTTCTCTTCCTGAATAAAGGGCAGGAGGAGAGAAAGGCAAGGGTCTTTACCCTCCATCCCCCCCACCTATTTTCAGTGACAGCTCTGGTGATAACTTAGCCTCCACAATAACAGCTCCTGCTGGACAAGCTGCCAATGACCAGCTCTCCCTGCCCTCTGGGAGATCATTTCTTTCCTCCATTTGTCCCTTCAGACCCAGGAATCCCTAATCTCTGGGAGCTTCAGCATCCCTTGTCTGTTCCCTTTGCCCACATCTCTGCAAATAGCTCCTTCATTAAAATCTCTTTAGTTGCATCGTCTGAGCAGAATTCTGTTTCTTCTGGGACCATGACTGATAGAGAAGCCAAGTTGGAATTGAAGGCAGAAAGGATACACACTTAACTCTGAAGATTTGTGTTAGAGCAATTTCTAGAGCTCAAAATGAAATGAAAGAGGACACAAATGAAACAGCAATGGAAGAAAGAGGATAAGGGAAAGGCTGCCACTGATTTGCATTGCTCTATCATTGACTGAAATGATGAGCTACTTTGTAAATTGGAATATAATATAAGGTATTATATTCAGTAAATTAATGTCTAATGTTAGCTGGAAAGGCTCTCATGTAGACACATCCTGTTATAAAATTGATTACCTTTCCATTACCTTCTATCTTCCTAGGGAATTAAGTAAAAGATCTATGAAAATGCTTAAGTGTCTTCTTAGTCAAATGAATGTGCTTCCCTCCTCCCCTCTCCTGTCAGTTACCTGAGAACTGGAGATACCGCCGCCTTCTCCGTCTTTCCAGTCCTCCCATCCTCCTGTCCAAGTGCCAGGAGTACCAATGAGGACTAACTGACCACCAATCTTTGTTCCCAAGTAGGGTTAGGAATCTTGAAAGGAGAGAGACAGAGGTAGGGTCTCTGCCTCCTGAAAGCTTATATTTTAATCCAATGATCTACACTGGCAAAAAAAACAAATGACAATGCAAGTATATTAGGTCAATGCACCCTCTTCCTGCTCTCTCTCCACCTTTGTTTTCTTTGTCTTTTTATAGCAGTTTAGCCTTAGATTACCAACTGCTAAAAGATAAAATTTCTACACATTTTACAAATCATACATTTTAGCACCAGATCAGCATCCTGGTCTCTTTTACACTTACAGAATCTGTAACCATTTGTACATGTGACCTCATTGACCGTGTTTTTACTTCCCCGTCTGCCTTTCAGGTTGTCCTGTTCTTATCAGATGGATTTATGAATTGCCTAAATGTCTATTAAATTCCTTTTTGTGATTTTTGTGAATGTAATGAAGATGTAAAACTAGTCATAAGATATGGTTGGTGTCCTATGATAGCTTATCAATCATGTTTCCATGGAATGTATATAATATGTGCATGATGATGTGATAGCAATGTATTTGGCATCAAAATTAGTACACAAGGGGAAAGTTAGGAGCATTTGGGACAAGCCTGTGTAGCAAGCTGTTTGGTGTAGTTAGAAAATTGCTGTTGAAGAAGATTCTCAGCTCTTGCCCTACAGAATAGAAGAGGAGGACATGGGTAGGGGAGTTCCGTGCTCTCTAAGTTTTCAGATCTCTGCGTGGAAGCAAAGGGAAATGATTGCAAGAGATGAGTAAAAAATCATCATAGTATATCTGATAGGAAAACCAGTTCGGTATTTCCTAGAGAAGTCAATATAGTCTGCTTTGTTTCTTCTGCCTAAAATTGAAACCAGAAAAGTTGGTGTTCATGCTGCCTGTCACTACCAGAACCAATAAATAGAAACAAGAATTGAATCTTTTTTTTTTTTTTTTTCTGGTGCACCATTCCTGGAAGTACTGCAATACCAGGTCAAGGTACAGAGTGGATGGAGCAAGCTCCTATTCCATCTTTCAGCTCCAAAAGTCCATTTAACTTAATGTCCTCAAATAGAAGATGTCTCAGATATTAAACTAATAAGAATATATGCTACACTTGATCTTAGCCAAAAGGCTGAGAAGCAATAAGAATTGAATCTTTATGGGCACTTTATTCAGAAGGCCAGGGATCTGAGAAGACAGGGTTTGTACCCTCAAAAACTTTTCTTAACATCTCTTTTCAAGCCGACCTTTTTATAAGGAGATGAAAGGATGGGTAAGGGGGTTGGAAAAAGGTTAACTGGATAGAAGGATTGGTAAGCTGTTTGAAAAATATGCTTATTGGATAAGAGTTTCAGTCTCACATCAGTGTTCCTAGTAATTCTTTATCTGTTGCTCAACAATTCTGTAGCTGCATCACAGGGGAAGGACGTTCCCTCCCTGGAACAAAATGGCTCAGATACATCTCTGTGGCTTGCAGACCCCCTAGGGTACAAAGGTTGAATTTCTTGGGCACCTCAGGAGTCACAGTGGTCACGCCTTCCAGCTCCTGGAACAACAGCTTTCCAGGTGCATTAGTCACTTAAGTCTATCAACTCTGGCTAAAATCTTTAACTCTTGATTTTCCCTTTCAAAATGAGGATTTATTTTCTTTTCTCCTGGAAGCCTACTTTGCTGTGATAGTTTGCTGTCCACAACAAAGCTTCTAAAAACTCCATTTACTTCATTGCCTACCCCTCCATTCCTCCCAATCCCAAACCTGTTATTAATAAAAGCAAAGAAATGTATCTCTACTGATAAGATGGAGGCAGTGCAGCATCTAACCTGAGTTGTCTTGGCTTCCATCCTCTCTATTTCAAGCTATACAGGTCCCTAATCCTGCCCTTCTTTCCAAGACAACATCGCATTAATTCAGTCAACACTATTTACTGAGTGCCTACCATGTGCCCAACACTATTTTAAGGCCTAGAGGCAGACAGGGATTTAGGTGATAGGAATATAGCACTGCTTTAGGCACCAGTGTATAAAACAGTCTTTCATGGGATTTATATTCTAATAGGATAAGAGGAAATTAATAAACCATAGTGTTAAGTTCTGATAAGGGCTATGAAGATAGATAAAGCATAGAAAGGGGATAAAGAATGTGTGAAGAAGACATAAGAGAAATAAAGTAAGACCAGGAGCCATGTGAGGGTACAAAGTGCCAAGCATAGGGTCCAGCATGGGAGCCTGGTTGGTGTGTCCCCAAACAGTGGTTCATCAGTGTCATCTGGGCACTTGTGAGAAAGGCAAATTCTCAGGCAACACCCTCCCCCTCATCAGGAACTCTGGGGACTGGCTTAGCAATCTGAGCTTTGAGGAGCCCTTCTCGAGGTAGAAGCTAAAGTTTGAGAACCACCGTGAAGGACGAGCACTCAGATGACACAGAGGCGGGGTCTGAGTGGTTGAGGGGAGCAGTTATTCATCCTTTGTTACTGCGGTTCCCCTGCAGATAGCCCTCTATGGATTTTCTCTTTACACTGTGAAATGCCTCAAAATCACCTCCACCTCCTTTATCCCGTGACCTTGTGTAGGTGGCATATTTCTGAGGAAGGCCTCCCCCTCCATGCCTGTCCCCTTTTCATGAGCCTCTTCAAACACTACTCCTCCTGCAAGAGTTCCCTGATGCTGCACCAGTCCGGTGTGATGGCTCCCTCCTCTGAGGTCCCGTTACGGTTGTCTGTGTGTATTCTAGCTCTCCTTTTTGGTTGTAAGTTGACGGAAAGATGCTGTATCCTATTCTTATCTGTATCTTCACTGTCCCTTAGTAGCATTTGGCATATTCAGTAAAAGTTAGATGGATGGAAGGGACGGAGGGAGGGAGAGAGGGAAGAAGATGGGAGGCAGGCAAGGAAAGAAACCAATAAATTAGGAATCAGGCTGCCAGCATTTGCAGACAGTTTTGCCAGACTAGAGTTCACCAATGACAAGTCGTGAGAAATAGAAACCATTTGCCCTTTATGGCTGTAGGAAGAATGTGAGTCCCTAGAACTGCCACCTGTATGTGCCTAAGTGTGATATTCCCCACCCTCATGTCGTTTTCCCCCTGCTCGGTTTGTTCCAGGTATCACTCACGTGATTACCCAGATTTGGTCTCAGATATTTTACTTAAACAAGCCCCGAAAATTGCTTTGACCAGAATTTTGCATTGGGGAGATTTCTGAGGTTGAGCCTAAGCTGCTGTTTCCTGTCTACAGCCAGAATGGGCACCAGCTGGTCATCATGTTTATTGGCCATTGTCTTGTACCAGGCATGGAGAAGCGACCTTGCCTTTTTGTCATTGCTGTTTATTCTCTAAGGAGTACATATGAACTCACCTGAAATTATAAATCATTTCTTTTTCAATCCATTTTGAGTTTAACATCTTCTCTAGTCTTTCAACAATTTTTAAAAACCGAAGTACTTCCAGTTTATCTCTCAGAAGTTTATTGTCCTTGTCCTTTTATTTGGCTCACCTTTTTCTAATGCCTTAGATATTTTTTTGCAGTAAGAACAAAAGTTTGTTTGCAATTCCTTTACTCAGATCACCATATATATTCCAGGTACCACAGAAACAGAGCGGTGCTGGAAAGAACACGCAATTTCCTTTAAAATAAGCAAAGAATAAAAATCTGAACAGATAGAAATGATCAAATAGTGTTATGTAGTTTAAAGCATCCTCAGACTTACAGCCTCTCATGGCTGCAGCTCAGTGTGCTGCCCATGGGAGCAAATTTTAGTAAAATCTGTAAATATCCAGACAGAAATTTTGTGAAATCAGTTGGTTCCTGTGAGAAAGACTTGGAAAAAGTCTCAGAGAGGTTTGACTAAGGAGCTGTTGGAGAAGAAGGACAGATGAGGACCAGCTGGGAAATAGCAACAGGAAGGTCCCAAGGTTGGAGAATCACTCTCCAGTTGTGACACTAATGCATAGTTTCTCAAGAAAATGTATGACATGCCAAAGGACTTGCCACCAGCTTGGCCTCTTTTTTGTATGTGAACAAGCTTTTTTTTTTTTTCCTTTAATGCAACTTATATAGAGAGTGTTTAACTACCAGACGAATAGCTCACCATGGGCCCAACCCTTGGTCAGTTCTTTCTTGGAAAGAGATCTTAATGCGAAAAAAAGATGAAATGGTAAAATGGAACTATTGCCAGTTCAACCGCCTCCCCCAGAATTAAGCATTCTAAACCAACCAGTGGGAAGGTGGAAAATCAACATGATGAACCAATCTCATTTCTCTAATAGCAAATTACACATACTCAAAAGAATTATACTGAGAATTGAATATTTGGTGTGCAAATATTTAACAAAGGTTTTGTACTCTTACATATACTGTATAATTTATTTACAAGTTATTAAGCACAGCTTCTGGTTAACGTGCTGTATCTTTAAGGATGAATTACTCCTAAGATTCTTCTGTTCATTTTGAAGCACAATGGAAAGCCAGTTCTCCATTTCACCCAACCTGAAAATCTCCATGAACTTAAAAAAATAGAAATGGCCAAGTTGGGGCCCATGAGAATAGGGTGCCCCAAGTGGTAAGACCTGTAACTTCCATTACCTGCTGTCACCATCAAGGACACACAGTCACCTTGTTTTCACAGTTCCAGTGGTAATTCATGTCTCACACTTGGTGGAACGCCTTATATCCTTCACCTGTCTGTTTTGTTAGACTCCGGGCAGTTTACAGGGCTGCCCATTTTTAATAACTTGGCTAAGGCTTGCCAGCCCATCTTTCTTGCCATCAAAAGAGACAAATCATTGTTTTCTTTTGTAACATTTATCTTCCAGAACATCACTTAACTTTGTCCTGAGCTCTCAGAGTGCTCTTAGGGTAGCATTTATCACTTTGTATTGAATGGCCTGTTTAATCGTTTATTCTTCCTGACTAATCTGAATACCCTTTAGGGGAAGGAACCCCTTCTTCCTCTTCCTGAAGTCCAATCTCTACACAGACTGCAGAAACCTGTGAGTTTTACTATTGTTGCCCTTCTACCTCCTGAAGTTGAACCACTGTCAGCTGCCAGTATTTGACTTTTTTAGTGTTAAAATTTCATTTGGTTCAGCCTAACGTAAGCTTTAATTAAGGACTTTTTTTTTTTTAACGCTCTGAAATACTAGCAGTTCATGTGCAGATTTTTCATTAAATTAGCAAAGATTTATCAAGTTTGTAGAGTATTTTGTTAGAGCTTCTCAAACATTAATCTTCAAACAAATCACCAGGGGATCTTGTTAACAACACAGATTCATCTTTCAACTTGGGTGGGCCGGGGCAGGGCCTGAGACTGCATTTCTAACAGGCTCAGTGGCTGCTGATGCTTTCTATGGCCTTGGAAAAAGTTACTGCCTCAGTTTCCTCATCTATATAATTGAATTAAGATTGAGTTAGTTTATATATGTAAAGTGCTTAGGACAGAACTTAATACTTTAAATTCCATAAATGTAAGCAGTTCACAGTATTAGTATTTCCTGTAGTTGCATTTCTAAGAAGCTTTCCTGAGAGAATTATCTGAAATGGTGGGCAAAGATTGAGAGTGAATGGAAACATATTTCTCACTAATTTATTTATTTAATCAAAATTTCAGTAACTACCTATACATTCAACAAAAGAGAAAGGTTAATTATAGCGCATATTATGGAATTTTTATACCCATTGTAAATGCCTACAAATAATTTTTAGTGCTCTAGGTACAGTGTGAAATGGGGAGAAAACAGGATGCAGAGCTGTATTAACTAACAGCTCATTTAACTATGATTTCTTACATATGATATAGTTCACTATGCCTGGGGAAAAATGCCCCCAGATATTAAGTAATTATTATGACCAAGTGATAGCATGATAGATGATATTTTTCTTCCTGTTATACTTTCTCTGTATTTACTCCTTCTACATGAAGCATAAACAATTTTTATATTCCAAAAAAAAGTAATTTGAAACATGTGTAAGTCCCCACCCCCACCCCACCCTGCCAAAAAATCGACACTATAACAAGGATTTTGTCTTCTCTGGTGCCTTATGCCAAAATGCTCTAGAAGCATTGCAAGTAAGAATCAAAAGTCAATAAATTTAATAACTCTAATACCTGGGGCCAAACTAATGACTAAAAAATTTTAAAGCATGTTCA